CGCTGTTCTTCGAAGATTTCAGAAACGCTTAGTTATAACGGACGAGAAAACCAAAACACCAATCTGCCGTTAGATATTTCTTTATTGTTACACCAACTGTCAATGGATTTGAAGATTGAACGATCAATTCTTGGTTGTTTGCTGAAAATCAACTTCCCCAATTTTCGCGGAGGCATCAATACGACAGTCATCGTCTCATCGGTCGCTGTTGAGAAAGAAGACTGAAACATCGTCAGAAGTAACAACGATTTATTATTGTAATATTTGTTTACAGACCTTAGTTTGCTTAGTTCGCTTATTCCTTTTATATGTTGGTGTAACAATACAGAAATATCAAACGGCAGATCGGTGTTTTGGTTTTTGCGTCCGTTATAACTAAGCGTTTCTGAGAAATCTTCTAAGAACAGCGTGGGCCCGAGCGTAGCGAGAGCTGGGCATTAACGGTTTATGAGACTTGGCTGACAGTTTCTGACGATGGAAACAGATCTGGCGGATTCAAACAGTTGGTGAAAGTTTGGATAGTCGCCGTTCATTTCTCCTGGTGCCGGTCAAGTCCTCTTTGAACAAGCAATATCTGGAACTTTTTTGGAATTGGGTCAAGTTCAACAATGCCTGGGTCAAAGAAGGGACAGAGTGTCTTGGATGCAAACAGGAAAGTAAGTCATGGTGACTTGTCTGTTAATTGTAACGATGTGTCTGATGTTAAACATGATATGGTTGATGTTACTGTTTCGCCGTTCAGGGATAATAGGAACATCAAACTCCCTAAATTAGAACCACGACGTTTTGATGGAAACCCGGCTGATTATTTACAATTTGTAAAGGAGTTTGAGATCATGTTGAGTGGTTTTTTATTAAATGATGAATTGAAGTTAATGTATTTGATGAGATATTGCACTGGAGATGCTGCAAGAGCTATACAGTGTTGTAAGTTTATGAAGCCAAAGGAGGGCTACGATGAGGCTATGAGCATATTATGCCAAAGGTTTGGAAGACCCTCGATGATTGCAGGAAAATTATTCGAGGCTGTTGAGGGTAATGGTGGTCAGTTACAGGATGACTCCCAGGCACTCACTGAGTTTTTAGATAATTTGCTAATTTACAAGAATGGAATGATTTCGATGAATCGAATGAGTGACCTCAACTCGAGTTTTATCCTAGAAGTAATAGCAAGACGTCTACCTACTCGATTGCAAAGGAAGTGGGTGAAGATAAGCTCCCGTATGGAGGATGAGGGTATCGAGCCAAAGTTTGATGATATCCTGAAACTGGTAAATACTAGTGTCAATCAATCTATGAGCAAGTTTTCCAGTCTGTTAGATCTCACCCCTAGAATAGAGCAGTCTGAGGGTAAAACGCACTCATTGATGACGAGTAGGCCTCAGAGAGGTGGATATCGAGAAGACTCCATGATGTCTAGTAATGCATATAGACCTAGTGAGTGTAACAGGTTTCGTAGTACATCCTCAACAGATAAGTTACAAGATGCAAGACAAACACGGCTTTGTTCTACACGTGTGCAAGAGGTGCATACAGAAGTGAACTGTGAACCAGTGAGCAAGTTTAGTGATAAGCTAAATGTAAACTCCAGGCCTTACTCCGAATTGAGTGACGATAACGGTTTGGTCAGGGAGTCTGTAGTTGCAACTGGTAAGCCGTTGCTGAATAGAGTGTCACAGAATAGAGTTACTGCTTCAGAGTGGAGTTCTGACTCCAAAAGTTTACAAAGTATAACTAGTCAGAGTGAAGTTATAAAGCCTTTTAGGATTTGTGAGTAATCAAAATTATCTACTTCTGTTATTAAAGAGTTTGAAAATGATGAAGTTGACGGTAAAGTGAATATTTGTGGTGATGATCATGATACTTCACAGTTGTCTTTGGTTGATCATTATGAGATGAGGGATATGCCTACTACTGCTAAGTTAAATATAGGTTCTGTACAACTACAATGTGAAGTAGAATTGAACGCAGAAGCAGTTCCAGAAGGTGTGCATACTTGCGAGACAGTCAGTGTAATTGATCAGCGTGTAGCCCACCTATCATCAGATGCTAGTGCTAAACCCGAACTAGTAGTGAAAGACAGCAGTGGTGGTAATCTTGCAGTTGGACAACTATCTGAGAGCCGGACAAGAACAGCTTCTGATCCACCGCTAAGTTCATCACCTTGTGTCACTCAGTCATCGTTGGTGTTTTCATCCACAATGAAACAGATGCCCATCAACTCAAGTATCTTGTCCAATGACTATGATAGTATCAGTTCGTTTGAAAGGACGAATATCAATGGTCAGTTTAGTGTGGATAAGCCAAGTGTAAAGGAGAGAGTTATTGTTAAATTGACTTGCATGAATAAAGGCATTTCTTGTTTCAAGTTACTATTTGAATGTTATTATCTTTGGTGTAAATTACTCTGTTTCTATACTTGGTTGATGAGATATGTCGTGTGTTTGTTGGTCATCTATATTCTACGATACAATGACATGGGCGTGTTACCGTTCAGATTTGAGGATTTAGCTCATAGAAGGAAGTTAGCGAATGAACTCTGCAACGATTTTCCAACCTAGAGCGTCAACCTGAGAAGGGTTGTAGGCGTACTGCTGTAAGTCCTACAATTCTTCAAAGGGTAGCGCATCAATGAGCAGTCTAATGTGCTCGGTGTGTGATTTTGTACATATGTTCATATTGTATATACTGAATTGATATCACCTGTCATCTAGCTGTTGGTAATTCTGTTTGTGTCCGGACATTCCACAACTTACAATGGTCAACCTGTGAAGGTTTGTCGGCGTACTGGTGTAAGTCCTGCAATTCTTCAAAGGAATTCCATCAAGACATGATCGGCGAGTTTGTGTGTACTGTTTGTATATACGTGTGGTGTGTCATATCAATTGGTGTTATTTGAATTCATTGTGTTTACTCGTTGTTTTCGTACCTTGTTGTTATTGCATAATTTTGTTAAAATTTTCGTCGTGATTACTTCTGAAGTTGTTTCTAGTCTTCTACATCCGTGAATAAATTGATTGATGTTAAGGACAGCAGATGGGACGTATACGCCGGGGAGGCTAGGCTATTGCTGAGAATGAAATGCACACGGAGATAATTGTTAGCTGCGGTCCGACACGCCGGGGAGAAAGAGTGTAAACGACTGAGGCTCGCATGCGTCACCGCTACTAGAACTGAGGCAGAATGAGTGACAAGCGATTGCAGTGGTAATTGGTAGTCAGTAGATACGAGGATGTGCGTAGAGTATCGTGAGGTGGTGCTATGGTCACATTGCATTCTGCAAGAGTCATTCTAGCAGGCGGCGATTGTGTTGCAAGATGTCAAGAGGAGGTCTCTGTCTGGAGGCGCAGGTCGTCATTGATGTGTGAGATTGTGCTGTGAGTATGCTTGTGGTGTGTTGTCTTTTCTGTTTGTTTTCCATTTCAGCTCTGTCCGTGTGACCCAGGTTCTCGCAATGGCATCCAAGTCAACGTGTATTGGTCGTGAAGGAAAAAAGGGTTGGATCCGTATTTTGCCGGGGAGTGTCAATGGTGTTGAAGATTGAACGATCAATTCTTGGTTGTTTGCTGAAAATCAACTTCCCCAATTTTCGCGGAGGCATCAATACGACAGTCATCGTCTCATCGGTCGCTGTTGAGAAAGAAGACTGAAACATCGTCAGAAGTAACAACGATTTATTATTGTAATATTTGTTTACAGACCTTAGTTTGCTTAGTTCGCTTATTCCTTTTATATGTTGGTGTAACAATACAGAAATATCAAACGGCAGATCGGTGTTTTGGTTTTTGCGTCCGTTATAACTAAGCGTTTCTGAGAAATCTTCTAAGAACAGCGTGGGCCCGAGCGTAGCGAGAGCTGGGCATTAACGGTTTATGAGACTTGGCTGACACGAACAGATAAAAAGAATAAGCGAACTAAGGTCTGAAAACAAATATTACAATAATAAATCATTGTATTACTTCTGACGATGTTTCACTGTTCTTTCTGAACAGCGACCGATGAGACGATGACTGTCGTATTGATGCCTCCGCGAAAATTGGGGAAGTTGATTTTGAGCAAACAACCAAGAATTGATCGTTCAATCTTCAACTCCATTGACAGCACTCAAAGTTAACTTATCCCCTCCTCTTACAGTTTGTCACTTCGTGCATCTTATCTATAGGTGACCTGTTCGTCTTGCTTGAATCATGACGGAACCGTGTTTCGCAAAATTCATCACAGCGTATCAGGCTTAAATGTATACCACATGCGAGTATTATGCTTATGACCTAGGTATGGAAAGCAAAGTAAACGTTTGTACGGTGCATTCACTATTTATAAGACTAACTAGTATGTAACAGCTACGATTTGACCAGTTATACAACGTTTAATATATTTAAACACAGTTAACCTACGCTACTTGTTTCTATGACGCATTACCTAAAGCTACGTAGTTACCCTAAACTCGTTTCTGCTGAAGGTGATCACCCGTAGCTACTACCTCAGTGAGAAACATAACGTTACCTTTGAATTTCAAAGTAAAAGCGGACATCCTGAGAACATTCTTGGTAAAAAGATTGTCTCTCAGTCGAGAAAAGTGAATAAATCCTAATCTACACGAAGCGTTTAGAGGTATTCATCCTATCACTTCAGATGACTCATTATTTGCAGTCACTTAAAAAGTAGGAATAAATTTACCGAAGACAGCGTGCTTATGATTTCTAGATATCATAGTGTACCATGACGAATAAGCTATATCCATAGGGTTATAACATTTAATCTGAAACACAACGACTACGATTCCCAATCACAGAACATGTTACCTAATCGTCTAATCATATCAACAGACGTTTCACTAAGAAAACCAATGGTTTTAGGAAAATTTATTTAGTTCTCTTAAAGATCATGGGCATCCGTATTTATAGCCGCGGACAAATCACAAACAACCAAAAAGGGAGTTTCATTGTTTGAAATGAAACAAGCAATCTGTATTCAGCTAATTGGAAATTGGACGCATTGGACGCGCGCTGTTTGAAAGGGAGTGCTTTTTTCACGTATTTCACGTTTTTGACAAATCGCTGTTTTGTTGTGTTATTCACTTCAAGAACATTTAAAAAAACTTTAACTTGACTTTTGTCTGTTAAGTTTTGATTTTAACCACTTATATAGTCTATATTGGGTAAATTGTCTTGGCTGTTTCCAGTAGAAGTTCATTATGTCAAAAGTACCACATAAATGTAATAGGGCGGAGTGTTACTTTTTGGTAGATGATGGAATACAGTGTAATAACTGTGAAAAGTGGTATCATAAGATGTGTACTGGATTACGTCCAGCTGCATACAAACGTTGTACTGCTCCAACATCCCACTGGATGTGCAGAATGTGTTGTTCTCCAAAGATGACCTTAATAAGGGAGGCTCACGAACTGCTGTCTAAAGCCATGGAACTTCCTGATGATAGCGTGGCTAGTAAGAGTGACACGGACTGCCCGTCTGAAGATGAAGCAGTAAGTGCCATCATGAATGTTATCACACCGGCGGTTACTATCCCAGTTACCCCGGAAGTAAAACCTACTAGGCGTTCGAAGCGTCTTAGTAAGCGAAAAGGTAACAAAACGGAAGCTGTAAACAGCATCTCAGAACCAGAGAACACCGTAAGCGAAGTTCACCATGAAGGTGGCGCAGACACTGATCTTGATTGTACCATCAAAAACTGCAGCAGCCCTGAGAAGCAACTGCAGGCAGATGATAAATGGGTAACAAAAATAAGCAGTCGAAGAAATATAGTAATATTGATGGTAGGCAAACGTCTGTCACCTGTAGCCAGGCTGCATCAATAGTGGTGAGAAAGGACGTAGCCACTGCTAAATACGACAAGCTCTCCTTAGACTCTAACATAATTGTTGGAAATTTGGAAGAGTCCAAAGAATCTGATCCCGTGAAAAGGCACGATCACGACCTTAAATTAGTGAGTAGTATTATAAGGAAGATGCTCCCAGCGAATTTCCCTGGAGTATCGATTAAAAAGCTGATTAGAATAGGCAAAAGAGATGATGAATGTTCTAGTCAGCGTAGGTTGCTTAAAGTAGTCTTAGGTTCTCCTGATGAACGGAATCATCTACTGGCTAATGTACACAACCTTGCCGGGTCAGGAATTTCAGCCAGACCTGATTTATCTCTTGAAGACAGACTTAAACGAAAAGAAGTTTTGTCCCAGCTAGAAACAAGACGTAAAAATGGTGAGACTAACCTTAAACTGGTGGGTTTTCAAATAGTCAGGTCTTGGAAACGTATGCTTCCAAGACCTGTGTGGATAAGCCAGACCGCATAGGAAGCCTGAAGGTAGTGTACACTAATATACGTAGTATCGGGAACAAATTTCACGAGCTAGGTGTATTAGTAGAAGACCTTAGCCCAGGTATTGTGGCCATTACTGAAACATGGCTGGTTTCGGGATTAGATGACACACCTGAGCTATGCGGATTTAGTTGCTTGCGCAGCGACAGAGTTAAGGGTCGTAGAGGTGGCGGGGTTGCTCTGTACATCAACAACTCCCTACATGTTCGTTCCGTGAAATCTGAAGCTCATGACAGTGGGACAGGTGAGGTAATTAGCTGTGAAGTAAGCTTTGCAACCGGCACTCTACTCATTGGAGTTCTGTATAGAAGTCCCTATTGTCAGTGTGATGACTTCATTTTAGATCACCTCAAACAATGGAGTAAACACAGTAGCTGTCTTATTCTAGGTGATTTTAATGCACCTCATATAGACTGGGTAGCTGTCACATCTCCAGGATCCGCTGATAAGTTTGACAGCCGGTTACTCTTGACAACCATGGAAAATGCCCTGACACAACATGTCTTAGGTAGTACAAGATTCGGTTCTACCCAAGGATCTTCCTTGCTGGACTTAGTGCTTACTCATGACAACGACGACGTGGATGGTCTAGTTATTCATCCACCTCTAGCAAACAGTGATCATGGGGTGTTAGATTTTAACTTAAGGGCTGGCAATTTAGTCAGTTTTCAACCCAAATCCCGGCCTAGTGTTTGGCATGCTGACATAGTGGCTATAAAGGAGCGTGCTTCAACTGCCGACTGGTCAGTCAACATTGTCTCATCCATTGAAGATGAATGGGATAGATTTAAGAATACACTTGAGAGGGTTACCACTGATCTCATCCCCTGGAGGGTTCCTAAAAGGCCAACAAATCGGCCACCATGGATAAATAGACAAGCTATAACACTCCTGAGACGGAGAAAAAGGTTCTGGAATCTCTTTGTTTCTACTGGGCTACAGCAGTTCCGGCTGAAATACTGTGAAACCAGAAACCAGTGTAAAACTTTGATCCACCAGTCAAGGATAGCTTACGAAACCCAGTTAGTTAAAAGTTCACCAGGCTGCCCAAAAAGACTCTTCTCATATATCAAGAGAAGAACACGTAAGAGTGATGCTATCCCACCTCTTATGCTTGAAGATGACCAGACAAACATGGCTGAGGATAACTTGACTAAGGCTGAGGCTTTGTCCAAGCACTTTAGTCAAGTATTCTCTGATAATATTGATACCAGCTTTGTAAATTTTCCAGAAGGTAACTTGAAAATGGCACCCTTATACATTGGAAAGGATACTGTCCTAAAGTGGCTTCTAAGGCTCAATCCTGGTAAGTCCAGTGGCCCTGATGAACTCCACCCACGTATATTAACAGCATTGGCTGAAAGCATAGCCGAGCCATTGTCGGTAATCTTCAATATGTCTCTGGACCAGTCTAAATGTCCAAGAGACTGGAAAGATGCCATCATTAGTCCGGTCTTCAAAACCGGATCTAGAAACTTAGTTCAGAACTATCGTCCTGTTAGTTTGACCAGTATTGTTGTTAAACTACTAGAAAGAATAATTCGTGATGCTATCATTCAGTTCATTGAAGGGAACAAACTTTTCGCTGTGGAACAGCACGGTTTTAGAGCAGGTCATTCTTGCTTGACCAACCTTCTTTTGGCCAGAGAAAGTTGGGCAAGCTCAGCTGATGCTAATATACCGGTGGATGCCATATTCATAGACCTTAGCAAGGCGTTTGACAGGGTTTCTCATTCAGGTCTTCTAGTAAAGTTAGGTAGTCTGGGAATCAATAAAGTGGTTACCGACTGGATTCAAGACTTTCTAAAGGACAGAAGACAAAGAGTACGAGTTAACGGGGTTTTATCAACATGGGAATCGGTTAAGAGTGGCGTTCCTCAGGGTACAATTCTAGGCCCACTTCTTTTCCTGATTTATGTTAATGAGATTCCATCGGTAGTTAAGTCATCCTGCTTACTGTTTGCTGATGACATCAAGATATGGAGGGCTTTGCACGATGACAGTGATCAACTTGCTTTGCAGGAAGATTTAAACTTGTTAAGTGATTGGTGTAAGCACTGGGCCTTGGAGATTAACTTAAGCAAGAGTGTAGTTATGCATGTATCCCATAGTCACGTGCACAATTACTCAATGAATGGCATTACTCTCCCAGTGGTCACTGAGTACAAGGACTTGGGAGTGGTTGTGCAGCATGACTTGAAAACAGCAACAAACTGTAGAACTGCAGCCACTAAGGGTTTTCGAATGTTATGGGCCATACGCAAGGCTTTTGCGAACTTTGACGCTGATATATTTCGTATATTATATCCGACTTATATCAGACCTCATTTGGAATATGGGATCCAGGCAGCGAGCCCGTGTTTCAAATACGAAATAGACTTATTAGAAAGGGTGCAAAGAGTAGGAACTAAGCTAATAAAGGGTTTCTCAACCCTGTCATATGAGGAGAGGTTAAGTCGACTGGGTTTATTTCCACTGTCATACAGACGACTTAGGGGTGACCTAATACTAGCATACCGTATCCTAAGAAATGATTTTGGAGCTAATTTATCTAAATTATTTCTTCCTTCTAGCACCAACCAATTGCGAGGACATCACCTCAAGGTTCAAAAACCACGGTCGAATCGTCTGCGTCTGGAAATCCGTTTTTCGCATCGAATTGTGAACCATTGGAACTCCCTACCGGAACACGTCGTATCAGCGCCATCCGTTGATTCATTCAAGGCGAGATTGGACCTCCTGTATGCAATAAATCGAAAGGATTAACACAGGCATATAGCCTACTATCCTAAATAAATTGTAAACTGTAAACTGTATCTTCACCCCGAATAATAATCAGCTTTTCAGCTTGTTGCAACCACCGATTGTAGACCACAATCCGAAACGTTATTCTTGCTAATTAAAGTCTTACCTTTAACTGGGATAGTTAATGTGTTATCCACTTTTTAAGTAGTTTCGCAACACACTGAATGGTTGTTAACACTGGCTTTGCTACAGGTGGTCTTAGTTCATGTGTTTGGATTTAGTACATTGAGCCCTAATAAATATAGGTGACACTTACCATTTAGGGGTTTCTAATTGCTTTCAAGTTTCTTTCAGTTCCGAAACTGCATACAGGCACAAAAGATTCACACTTCTTATGTGGCTCAACTTTGTTTGATTTAGACTCTCTGACAATATATGTGATTCTTTAACTGATAATATACACTGATGGTATACTCAGCTTCTCGAAAAGCTTCAAAGGTTTTTCAACTTCAAACCACGTTCTGAAATCTCCAGGTTTAATATGCACTTCGAAAACCTTGCCAATATCAACCCTGATCGTATTCTCCTCACCAGATTGACTCGCAGATTGCTGCATGCTGTAAACATGAAAGTGAAAGACACTGTTCTTTCCAGATTTCTATATACTAAGAAACCAATTGAGCTGGAAACAATAACGGGAACCAGCAAATGAACTAAAAACAACAGGTTTAATTATATTTCAATAGTTTACACACAATGATAAGTGTTGTTATTGTAATTTTGTTATACCAATAACAAAACTTATCACTGTGTGTAAACTATTGAAATATAATTATACTTGATTTAATCTAATCCATAATGCTCAAACTTTTTACTGATATTAAAAACAGCAGCTTTGGTCAGCTAAACGTTCACGTGAACATGATACTCATGTCAAACCAAGTCCTGTAGATAAACTCGTCGAGATAACTGTATATCATTGCATTTCTTGATCCATGCACAGATCTGAAACGTTTTTTAGGTGACTCCAGAAACTTTCGATGGAATTAGTGTGAGCTCCATCAAAAGGATTGAGAAAATCATTTATATGGTTGACCACTTGATGAATACGTCTCAGATTCGATAACCGACTGTAACTACTCCATCAATCTGTATGAATAGTCTCCCAAGGCAGCACCAAGCGCTGGATAATAGTCAATAATACACCTGCACTACGATTAGGGTTCGCCTCAATTTATCCTTTCTGGAGGCTGGTGTCATATATCCCCTATACCTACTGCTAGTTCGCACTTAATCTCCCTTCTTTATATCTTCTTTTTATCAAAGGTACCTAAGGAATCTGTAAATTAAAAACGAATAACATACGTTCTCGAAATGATTTTCTGATTTGGCACTCATTTCACCAACAGATAAACCCATCGATGCACCTATTGTATCTTTGCATATGAATGACACCTCCACATTGGCATTTTTTCGACCTTCCTACCAGTCCGTTCTTCTAACAGTAATCAAAACAAGACCTGGAGTGAATTTGCGGCGGAAAAGGTGTGGAGCACCCATAAGTACGTCTGGATAAAACAGAGTCACTTGATTGGTTGCTGAAGGTCATTTGTCCATTCACTAGGTTGTTTCGGATTGAATTAATATTAGTAAAAAGTTTGAGCATTATGGATTAGATCAAATGATTAATGATTCACCTCAGCACTTTTACTTTTCTAAAACAGCTCTCAATCCCTTGTAAACGTTGTACTTACCTCAATTTTGGTTGGTTATCGTATGCCGACAACCACGGGATGAAAACGAAACGAAGTCGATTTTCCCGCTCAACCTGGAGGACAATTGTACAATTCAATAACTATACAGCCTAGTTCTGACAATGTGTATTTATATATATATATATCAAATATTTAACTGTTGAAACATTATTAACTTGTAGACAATCTACGATTTGATATTATATCATACTTGATCGTGCCTGTAAAAATGGCATGCATTTTCATGTAAATTTATATGTTTATATGAGAATATACATTATTATTATTATTATAAATAAAGTATATTTATATTTCGATAGTTTACACAGTGATAAGTTTTGTTATTGGTAATATTTCGGTTTGGACTGCTATTCTTTAGAGTCGCCTTGCAATCCAACATGGCCGACTAACATGGCCGAAAATAACCCTTGAGCGTCTCACTCCATCAATGACCTTGAACATGCGGGATATATTGAGAAAAACTGAAGGCCGCCTAACAGGGGTGCATACTGACATTAAATTGCTCAACAGAAGGCGGGATTTCCGAGACTGGATTAAGCAGCCGATTTTTCATTAGATATTTTAAGAGTTAAACGGCTTTAGGATATAATCATATTTCCACTAGCTTCTGGTAAGTATCACTACTAACTGCATGTTAGAGAGGGCATTCACCACCAGTAAGTGGTAAATTACATAAAGTATAATAATAATACAATAGTTTACACATTGTGTGTAAACTATTGAAATATAATTATACTTTATTTGATCTAATCCACAATGCTCAAACTTTTTACTGATGGTAAATTACATTTTCGGCATTCCTGTTGATTTTTGGAGTTGTGTACTTATTCACATTTCACGGATACAAATTTTATAATTCTGATTTCTTATCTGCAAAAAGTATTGAGCTTTTTCTTTTCTTTCTGACTCAGATTTTTTAGAGTTGGTAATATTCAGCTAACAGGTGTTCTATGTTATGCTTCATATCGGGTCCATAATCTTTCCCCATAGTTGTGATTCTTCATCCATACTATGATGACTGTTATAACTTAGAGATGCATTATTAAAGCGGTAGTCGTTAGAAACGGAGCTATTTAGTGCTATTGAGCCTAGAAGTGTTACTTCCTGCTGTCAGCTACTTATATTTTAAGGTGAGGACGAAGAGGTAAAATTCATTATTTACTTCAGCAGGACCCGGTATTCTCAGTTAAAGTAGTTTGACTGATGAACTGAGTTTTTGCCTTCAAACTCTGGGCATAACTTAACTATTTCGATTCGCCACATCAGTACTGGAAAAGTAAAAGATCGCAGGACCATAATGAATCGAAGTATACAGGATGGAGAATAATTGTATAGAGAATAGTGAAAACTTGATGGACCTAGCAGTCTACAAGGAATGGATGCATCTGGGTCATTGGAAACGATTTTGAGGCATATCACTGGCAGTCTCAAGCTATTGGGTTTTCGCTTTTCGATAACCCCATCCAGACAGTCTAATCATCTCTGCGTGACTCAGACAATGACCTGAAAGATTGATCTTGTTTTATTTTTGACTAACTCACTCCTAACCTAATCCTATGTCATCTAACAAACGGAAAAGACGGTGCCTTGACCAGTATAATATGATTCCAAGTTCCAGTCTATGTAGCTCCACAACCTGGTTGATTGACTTTCCCCAGCAACACTTTGTGCCTAATCTTACATAATACATCTTGCACAATACAATTTAACATAAGTTGTCGAACGCGAAAAACTATTTAGCCCTGTCTCATAACCATAATGCAGGATAGACTGAACTGTCGTGCTTTACACGTTCTTCGACTTTTAGCTGGATATTAAGAATAAGCCTGAAACCACGTAATTTAAAAAATGCCACACGAGCATTTTGCATCCGGGCGGAGAATGCGTCAGCAGTAAGTCGACTAGGGACGAAGCATCTACTCAAATAAGTGTAGTAGTCATCACGTCACACCATGTCTATGGACTGAGCTGGTGCATACTAGTCCTGTAGCATCGCCTTACATTTGGTTGGAGCGGGTCTCGTGTTAAGTCCCCGACTTTCTGTAATAGATTTCAGGAAATTGTTTGTGGGAACTATTATCGTTTTCTTCTTGATAATCCGAACCCAGTTCGCATTATGTATATTCTGACGTCTTAAAGTAATATCAGGTTGTTATAACGGGCAACCACAATCTTCTCAATTAAGGTAACCCATAGTTAACGATAAAACACATCATCCCTCACCACTAAAATTGTAGTGTTTATTTATGGGATAGTGAGTTTAAGGCTTACTACTAGTTTGGACAAGAATTGAATATATTTTTCTGCAGCATAAGTGGCTGTATTGTGTACAAAATTCGACGGCTTACTTGATTTGATAAGATTTTTCTCTTTTTTAATTTAGGTCTTCGGAATGTTTTTAATACAATGATATTGATGGTCAGCTGTTATATTTGATCCCCGAAAGGATCATGACAACTTCGGTAAGCACTCAGGCGAAACCTTCACTATCTGTTCGTACACGTGCTCTAACAAACAAATATCACACAAAGTTAGCAGACAAACGTGCATTGTTATCTGCCTCAATCGATCAACGACTGCGTCATCGAAACAGAAGTGTAGAAAGAAGTCATGTTAGGCGTTCTCACGTTTCCTTAAACAGTGATAACGTCAAACCACCCATGGGAGAAAGTAGTCTTTGTGAGCAATCTGTGATCAATTCCGCTCAAGATACCTCTTCTTCTTCCGTTTCTTCTACTTCTTCCGGATCAAATGGGCGGTCTGTTTGTCGATGGAAAGATTGCGAGTGCTCTGACATTGAACGGACTCAGTTAGTTAATCATATTCAACAGATGCATGTGCTTCCACAGCTGTCCAGTCGACGTAGGCATTTTTGTTGCTTATGGCAAGATTGTCGGGTATATGGACGACCCAGCGTCTCAGGTGCCTGGCTAGAACAACATATCCTTTATCACACAGATGCCAAAGGGAAACCGTTCAGGTGTATTTTCGATTCGTGTGTATTACGATTCTCCACGTCCACACTGTTAGAACGTCATGTTCAGCGGACACACATGCGCACTAACCGTAGTAAAAGTGATACTGTTAGTGAGTTGTCAGTCACAGACAAGACTGTTTGTCAGCCACAGTCAGACGTCAACACTTCTCAAAATTCAGCAAAGCAGCAGACTTCATCAACAGTCAGAAGAAATTTACGCAGACGTAAGAAAGCGCGAACATACCGAGGTTTGTTTCTTTTACATACGTTTTACTTATATTCTGTATACCAGCACGTTATTTTGAAGTTTTGTTTGTATTTAGACAAGAATGAAAGTCAAACTCGCTACTCGCAAATTACACGGTTGCGGTTGGAATTCTGTGTCTTCTCCTTTGGAAAGCAAAGTTATTCAGATCACAATATATGATTGGCTTGATAACATAAATGGTAACGAAGAAAGCAAGCGAGTAGTAGTAGTAGTGTATGCAACCATACCGTGTAATTTGCAGATCAGTTTGATTTCATGTATTACCAGTTACCTCAAGTGCTTATCTGGAATTCAGGTGAATGAGCTCATTTGGCTCTGTGAACTGAGTTAATTCGGGCACATGGCTAATAAGCCTGGCTCTAAACGTGGGGAACAGCTGTCCAGAGTTTAGGTCACTTGATTCGACTGGTAAGTACGATCGCTTGATGTGAGTGTTTTTCAGTTACTCGTATAATCCATTATTTACTATCACGCGGAAGTCAAGATTCCCTGAAAGTAATTTTTAATTGATTGCTGTATTTTTGTGCGCAACTCGCTAATTTAAGACTTGATTTTTAAGAAACGTAAAATCACTTAGGTGGTTTCAGCCAGGTAAGTCTACTAATTATTTTACTATTAACACTTTGCTTGAGATGTCACAGTGGTCAGAAATAAACCCTTCAATAATTCATGTGGTTGACTTGCATTGGTTAATTTCATGAAGTGCTGAAGACGTCAGTAACAGGGGTTGGTTGATTGTTTTGTTTCAACACAACTAGATCTCAAGGGGCAAGCCATATTTAGGCACCAGTGTTTGCGTTCTACCGTTCCTGTCAAATTGAATTATGGTGGCAAAAATCAGTCAGTCAGGTGGGGAAGCTGCATAGACTGAAATGGTTAGGATTCATTTTATACAAGTCAAGTCACTATCTTTCCCGTCGAGCAATTTTAGCTGACGTGAGATAAGGTTGTGAGAAAGTTAGAGTCTGTCGAACAAAACGCACAACCCCAAAAGACGTGTACTTTGTGAGAGGACTGGATTACCGCTCGGACGTCTAGAATTAAGCAGGTATTGTGTTAACGGAACACACCCGAGCCTTTGACTTGAAGTCTAATCCACATAGCATTTAGGGAACGTCAGAAGTTGTGTTCTCCTGGTTTGTGGTGGCGCAAATACCATCCAATTTGTTTAGATTCTAGGTCATCTACATCACAGGTTTGCAATAATCAGGGTTTTCCAGCTCCTCATCAACAGGCAATTGCATTCTCCTTTTCACTGTTTTGAGTGTAGGCAGTGAGTAGGAATTACCTGGCAGAGGCTGTAAACACGTGGTCATATGAGGGCATTTCGAGTGGAAGACCGAAGTCTACCCATGTCCGACTGTACTAGGTCGTTTATGGGCCTCAAATCAAAACAAGTAATCCATCCATGAAGTCTTTGTCTGTTGGTTCGAGCTGCTTATTTACAAATAGACACTTAACGTGTAGCTATCGCATTCGAACGGAACTTTCATGAGATTCACACTCCCAGGAATAAATTAAGATATTTTAGTGATTGCATATTTTTCTGTATGGTAGTATACAAGTGAGTTATTAGGGTTATATTCTCTGTTTTAGGTAAGGTCTATTGACAAATCTTGGTAAATGACCCTTACACAAATATGTATATGCAGTTAAACAGTCATATGGTAACTGAACAGCCATATGGATGTGTTTGTGTTTGGCTGTAAACTACATCTCGTCTGCGAGGGTTTAAACTACCTGTGCGAACAAACCAGTAGTTAGGAGATAAGGTTACTGAATAACAGACTCACAAAAAGTTGAACTGTTTCTCCCGTCGTCTGCAGCCTTAACTTTTTTACCAGCTGGTAACGAATATGTTTATATTACTTAACTTACATCTCACTTTCTAACAGTTTAAAAGAAAGAAACTTTATTTTCAGAGATAACACCTGATTTTTCTTTTCCACATTGTAGTTCGTCGTGTTGATTTTTATGATCGTAGAAGTCAAATGCTTGTAAAAAGAAAACTGAAAATTTCCGATCTCCTTAAAAAATACCTTACAAATGAGTGTGATGAGGAGCGGCCTAATATTTTACGACAGAAATTGCCCAACTTACCGGCTAGATTATGTGAAAAGCCCAGCCCTTCCACTTCTGATAATTCAACACAGCATCCGTCCAATAAGGAAGAATCTTCTGTACTGACATTACCAGAAGCTACTGAAGAAGTTCGCCAGCACATATCAATGTTATTAAGAATTCCTTATACAGTAAGTGTAATTTCTTCTGTTTAACACCTTATATACGTCGTTGTTTATTATGTATATTCTATTAGATGAAGTTCCAGACAGACATCAGAAAAGTTCTTAACTTAACATCTATAAGCTACTAATTTAGTACTGAGACATTGTGTTTCCCATTAATAATTATGGCTGTATTCTGAACAATGTTTATATAAAGTACAGAATTTTCAACGGAGTTTATTGTATCATATTTTCTCTTCGTCCACGATCTTCAAATAAAAGAATAATTCACTGACAATCTATCGTGTGACACATTGCTATCTGACCTGAAGCGAAAACCAATCCATTGTGATATCTCTTCTTTGTCTCTTTCGAAGACTTTTACGACATTTGGTTGAATGCCAATTTAAAAAAGTTCAGGAGTACACTTTTTGTGAACGCAGGACACCACTGTGGAACGGTCATCTCATCTTTCGGGATAAGCTGCCATCAAGGGTAGTATTTCTTCACATGTTTAGTAGAAACTTGCGAAACCTTCGGTTGTGTTTTAAATACACGCCAGGGTAAACAATAGTTTATACTTTACTAGGCTTAAACTAGCTGAATAGGAGAAACTATATGCAATATATTGGTGGAAGTTTCTGGTAGCTCAAGTTTTAAGCAGGCTACCTGTGTAATCTGCGTAAATTATAGTTTCTTAATTCTTTATTTCATTGTCACAAAAATAAAGGTGCTAAGAAAAGCATTAAAAAGTTGCTTGTCGCTAGGTCAGTGTGGGGATATTGTTCAAAATAGTAAGCAATATTTCTGAAAAAAGAAATAATAGTTTCGGGTCCCAGTGGCTTCATAGTCTATGAGCTTGTCTTGTAACTGGAAGGTCCCGGGTTCAAACCCCAGTGGGGTAGGTGCTTACCGACGAAGAGTCCCAAACTAGGATGAAACAGCTGCTTAGTACTTCCAGTGGTTCTCTAACTGATGTTAGCGCATGATGAAATCCTCCAACCGATCGAACAAAAATCCCTACAGGCCAATACTAAATAATGATATTGTCAAAAAAGGGCCCTAACAGTAGTTTTGAGTGACGATGTCCTGAAGTATAAACCGGATCTTCTCTTATCAAAAATAAGGTTGAAGGAAATTAGTTGAGAATAGATTTTCTGGAAGAGATTGTGGAGCTGTATATTTTATTCTACTTCTAGTCACTAAATTATACGTCAAAATATTCTCCCACACAAATAGATTCATAGAACTGAAATTTTTAATAAGCATAATTTTGCTTACCTTGTCTCACTCACTTTTTTTCCACCTGGAAAACAAGATGAGTAAACTCAAGCAACCTTATTTAGAGAATACATAAATGCTATTAACAATTCCTTATACAGTAAGTGTAATTTCTTCTGTTTAACACCTTATATACGTCGTTGTTTATTATGTATATTCTATTAGATGAAGTTCCAGACAGACATCAGAAAAGTTCTTAACTTAACATCTATAAGCTACTAATTTAGTACTGAGACATGGCGAGGAATCATGCTCCTGTCGACGCCAAGTAAAATCCTGAGTCGCATCATCCTGGAGAGAATAAAGGACGCATTGGATACAGAACTCCGACCAGAACAAGCTGGGTTCAGGAAAGTCAGGCAAATCATGTTCTGACCAAGTTGCAACTCTACGCATCATAATCACAGAACAAAGCATGCAATGGCAATCAAACCTGCACCTCAACTTTATAGACTTTGAGAAGGCCTTCGACAGTGCATCGTTGACCGCGAAGTAATTTGGAAACTACTCGAGTAGTACGGCGTACCCCAAATATTCATCAACCTTACTCAACAGCTGTACGACGACGGAACATGTCAGGTGATCCACAACGGGAAACTCAGAGAGGCGTTTGGAGTAAACACAGGAGTCAGACAAGGGTGCTCGCTTATTATCACCAATGGATGATATTCCTAATTTTGGTGGACTGACTGGATTATGCGTCAGACAGTGAGTGGGAAACGAGAAGACAGGGAGGGATATCCTGGAGCGACGTGAGGAACCTAGAAGACCTGGATTTCACGCGCGTGGATGATTTATGTTTGATGTCATACAAAATCGAAGACTTAGAGGCAAGCGAAAACCAACAAACTGGTCGAAGAAGCAGGTAGTGAAGACAGGACTCCAAGTGAACACAGACAAGACGGAGGTTATGAAAATAACCAACCCACAACAACAACAACATCCAGCGCCAATCACCATCAACGGGAGGGATTTGAAAGAGATTACTTCATCCACTTATCTAGCATTCAGCATTGTTTCAACTACAGGCAATAGGAGCGGGTGGGGATGTCAAATCGAGCGAGAATCGGGAAGGCGAGAAATACATTGATCAACCTGAAACCAATCTGGAAATCTTCGTCACTCAGCCACTGTCAACAACAAAATTCGGTCGGATTTTCAATACAAACGTCAAGTCAGTCAGCTCTTCTATACGGATCAGAAACTTGGCGGGTGGGTCACAAAGAAGATTTACAATAGGCTATTGCAGAGCATTATCAACCAACAACTGTCTTCGCTGGATCTATACCGAAGATGAGATGGCCGAGCCGGAAAGAATCACCAACAAGAAACTATGGGAAGAAACAAACAAAGCAAGAACCAATCGCCCAACAATAGCAAATATGCAGGAGAAAGTGGAGTTGGATTGGACACTCGCGGCTGAGGAGGCCACTGGGTGACATCGCGTGCGCGTCAGGCCATTGCTCGAATGAAACCAGGTCGAAAGGGAGGCGGCAGCGAGTGGGACGTCAGTGCAAGGGTGACTTGGAGGAGATCGTGTCAGTTGGAGGAGTTGAGACAGTATGAACTAACGTTGATGCAGGTGTAAAGTACAGCAGAAGACAGAAGTGGCAATTGGAGACGTGCAGTTGAAGCCCTGTCTTCCCCTAGGAACCCAAAGGAACAGTAATAATAATAAGTGTTGTGTGTAGTGGTTCTGTGTTAGCTCGAAGCTCTTCTGTAATGTATTCACCTTTGAGGGATGGAGACAAGAACTGTCATCCTGCAAGGTTGTAAACGTCTAATGACCATTGTCTTGCTTATCAAGCAATGTTAGCGAACTTAAGACTTGATGAGAGTGGAGTCAGAAATAGTTTAAACCAAAATATGATACCAATCAGTAAATTTACAGGATTTCATTATGAGGTGATATCGGTTAAAAACCATTGGAACACCAGGTGGGAGTAGTGTTAGCTGTTTCGTCTGCCCAGTTTGGAACTCTTCAACATACCGACCTCCAGAGTTCGAACTCAGGAACTTCTGGCTTAATGGTGTACGTGCTCACCTTGTAACCGGAAGGTCCCGGGTTCAAACCCCAGTAGGGTGGGTGCGTGCTGATGAAGAGTCCTAAACTAGGCTGACGAAACAACTGTCTGACAGTACTCCCAGCTGGTTTTTCCAATGGTTCTCTGATATATTTCAGTTCATGATAAAACTCGCTAACCAATCAAATCCTTGCAAGCAAACACTGAAATCAGTGCAGTGTTGGATTGCAAATCTGAACTATCTGGAGAGGAATAAACCACCTACTTAGCGTCCTCCAGATGCTTAAAACTAATGTTTAGGGATCGTTGGTTACTTGGCTCAAAATCGTTCTCAACGGCGGTCAAGCATTCATTCTTTGTCGTCTTCTAGATCCATTGAATCCTCACAATAATTAGTGTAATCATGCTCTCTCCTGAGCAGTTCTGTTCATTATAGTTTTCCTACATATATTTTGATTTTATGAAGTGTAGTAAGTTGAACGTACAAAAGTTTTAATTCAAAATTCAGTTCATTTCATGTTTAAAAAATGACTCCATTCATTCATGACGAACTCAAGCTTAGTTTACTATTTATGAACCACCAACAGAAAATAACTACACAAAATAATAAGAAAATAGTCTAAGAAAAGAAGGAATAAAATAAAAACCGAATGAGATCAAATGTGAGCACTCATAAAGATTGTTCATGACAAAATCACTTGAAAATGCCATTAATGGCAGAATTAAAGGTAAATAGTAAGATTCAGTTACCCTAGTGATGATTAGGGGAATGATGACGATGGTGATAGGCCGTTGAATGATTTCACTCTATCTGAAATATTTTCCGTTGGATTTCCAAAATATTCAGAGGTGATTGCAGCGAGAGCTTTTTGTGTGGTAAAGAAAGGATACCAGGTGAAAAAAGGACTGAATCTGTACTTAAAGTTAGTTTAGCCTGATACACTATGTTGGATTGTCCGCGTTATTCATGTGACCAGGGACTACTTTGTTCCCAAATGACTACCTAATTATTATTTTGAACAAAACAAAAAGGAATAGGTTAACAGGGCAAACAAAAGTCACTTCTCATTTTACGGCTTTTCTCCAGCTGCTCTAAAAGACTCAAACAGTGATGTAAGTTATTACAAATGTAAATATCTGACACACTTTGAAAAAATTGTTTCTATTCATAGAGCGTTTTTAATTATTCTTAGCATGGTGATTAACCAAAAGGTATGAAGAGGAGGCGTAGAGTTCTAGGTAAACAGGGGAAATCAATCGACGAAGTCGTGAAGCTACATCGACTGAGATGGTTAGGACATGTGTTACGTATGCCAAGTCATCGCCTCCCTCGACGAGCTATGTTAGCGGATATAGGGTCAGGCTGGAAAAAAGCTAGCGGCGGTCAAACAAAAACTTGGCATCAGTCAATGAAATCCACAACAGTTGGTCTTAGCCACGTAGGAAGGTGTAGACTTCCAGGCTGGGGTCCTCGGGACTATAAAAATCTATGGTTGGAAACAATTGGTGACATGGCTCAAAGTGATCGTTCTCAGTGGCGCAGATGCATCCACTCCTTGTGACTTATGATCTTCAATGAAATTGTTTTGTATTTCTTTATTACTCCTTTGTCTCACACCTCTGCTCACTGTTTCTATTATGCTTTTCTTGTACTTTCTTCTCTTGCTTCGTGTGCTACACGGAATGTGGCGACTTGAACTTCCGCACATTTGCGCAAAGTTCTATATCGAAAACAGACAGACAGACATGAAGAGGAGACAGTTAATCATTAAGCAGCCTTACCTTTATTCATTAGACTGAAAAGAACAAGAGGTTCAGCAAAGATATCTTTTCGGCGATTTCATTCTCAAAAGCTGTACAATCGCATTTATGTAGATTAGTTTACATGGATACAATTATTATTTGTTTAATTCCACATAGTAATGAAGGTGATAATAATTTTAAACTTGATATGAAAGTTTGAAGGTACAAATATAGATTACAAGGGGCTTAGAGACATGATTGCATAGGATCAGAAAATAGTTACAACGTATGCAAAAATTAATATTTGATAACCGAGAACTAGTTTTAAAGGCGAATAAAAGGTGATGATTGTTTTCAACTTGGTATGAATTACAAGAGGCTTAGAAACGCAGGGGTAGAACGAATTACAGGTGTGAACGTAAATGAGCATAGAAACAAATTGAAATCAAAATTTTCAACTTGAAATATAAGTTAGGAGGTGTGAATATAGATTACTAGAGGTGTAGAAACAAAAAATTACACAGGATCAGAATATAATTGTAAAATGGTTATTCTAAACGGATTACAAGTGTGATCAGGAGGAGCATGGAAACAAACTTAAAAGAACTGATTTTATAACTGAAAAATAGGATAAATTGAGTGAAGGTAGAGAGAGAGAAAATTGCACACACGGATAACAAAACAAAAAAACAGTTAGGATGAGCAGCTATCTCTCAACTGCTACCTTTCCAGTTTGTTAACCCTTACATGTAATCTACTTCACTAATATTGCTAAGGGCTCCGAGTGTAATCTGTAGCCAAAATATGTTAGTAAACACAAGTTAAAAGTGTATTTCGTTCCAACTGAACCTATCATTGCTAAGGGGCTGATACTGGTGAACTTTATCATAAGGAGTGGAATCTGCGCGGTGTTTCATCAGATTTGTTGGCACTGACTGGGAACTTTTTCAGATGATTAAATCAAAAGAGGCGTAAAAGAGCCCTAGGGAATCGTCAATACGTATCAATTGTCTATTCCAATTTGGTGATTTAGTATTTTAAAATGTGACGTAAGCTAGGCAGTCTTCCTGAGTTAGCAATATTGAGCTTAGGCGTCGGGTGCTAGGTAAGTAGGTGGGGAAAATCAATCGATGAGGTTGCGCAGCAGTTACATATATTAAGTGAGATGGTTAGAATATATGTAATGCATGTCTATCTATCTCCTTCCTCTACGGGAAATGTTATCTGACATAGAATCAGCTTGGAAAAGAGCTAGTGATGGTCAAACGAAAACATGACTTCATCAGTCGCTCAAATCCAGCCACATAAGCAGGTGTTAACAGCCTAACTAGCTGTTTGGGGTCTTCGCGATGGTGAAAGCCAATGGAGTTTGGAGACAATTTGTGATATGGCTCAAAATCGTTCTCAATGATCACGAAGATGCATTCACTCTTTGTCATGTGCCATACCCTGTAAAACTTCATTGTTCTTCTCCAATGTTACTATTCTTTTTCCCTCACTCACATTTGTGTTTATTATGTGTCTTTCGTAATTCTCTTTACTCTCTCCTATTACTCTGTGTGCTGCATGAAGCGAGGGAGATTGGCAACTCGGACGGGTGTATATCTGTGCAATGTTCTATGGTTGAAACCAGTCAGTCAGTCAGATCTTTGGGAATGATTGAATTTCTGACGAGAAACGGCTGAAGCGGTGGGCGAAATACTTGCATTCTGTTTATGAAAGGTGTTTGACTTTAAAAAATTTTTAATTGTTAAACTCCATCGGTTGTGATTAAAGTCGGTGTGTACTAAATGATCACACTGATTATTTGTTCGCCTTTTACTCTAGTTTGCCGGACAACGCATATCTCTGGACGGTCAGCATCAATATTTTATCCGTTGGGTCCATGGACATGCTAGTGGGTAAGATGAAGGTTTCACTTTCGTAAATTTTGTTTTCTTACAATTACGGAGATTAAAAAAGAAACTGTGTATGGGGCTTGTTTGTTTAATGTAGTACATTTTTAAATTTTGGTTATCTGTGTTGGGGGTAAGTGTAATCTAATATCATTATAAAATGTCTGCCTTATCGTTTATGTGAGAATTCACTTAGTATTTTGATGTTGAGTCTGGTTAGTTGCCTGCTTCAGTATAAGTGATACTGTAACAGGAGAATACGGGAGACGTGGTGTGATAGGCTTTTCTAAATTAAGGAAAAACACACCGTATTTACACATGTTTAGTCACATTTAAGGTCGGCTAGGTCATCATCGGATGATAGACTGTTCTGTTCTGACTGGTTGTTGATTTTTTGAAGGTTAAACCTTGAGAGACAAAAAGTTGTCTGATGAGATTGTTTCCTGATCACAATGTAAACTGAATTCAGATATGATGAATAAATACACTTCTGTACTTCTGTAGCCCACCATTGACTTAAAATGTTGTTTTCAATATTGGCTACTTCCTGACAATCTATGTCAGGTGCACATGCCACCAGCAGCTACCGTAAAACAAGCGTCGAGCACAGTCAGCATTATGTATACCAAATATTCTGATCGCCTCAAATAAATGATAAACCACCCTTATTCTAATTGTTATGTTTGACTGTGAGTCAATGGATGCATCCTTTACAAGAAATCAACTCTTCCCGCTGATTGTGTGTGTGTAACATCTATTAATTAACTGTTATTGATTACGTCTGATAAACTGTTGGTATTATAAAAATATTTAATGTGAAATAAGATGAAAAGTAAATACTGGATGTGCTTCCCCCCTCCCCCCAGTCGATTATCCTCAGAACTACTTTTTTAATTTTATTATTTTATTCTTTTACGTTCCTAGTGGAACTTATGGCTTCAAGCTATAGCTTGAAAGTTTGGACAACAGTGGTGCTTGTTTAATACTAGGTGGGGTTGCTAGCCTCGTGACCAAGCTTCCCTCTTTCCTGCTTTTGTTACGGACTTAGCTTGATTTAGGAGTTCGTCAGCCGGGAATCGACTCCCGGACCATATATGGCGTGTTTGGAGAGAGTTCTACTGCCAAGCCACTGACGCACTCTCAGTATTATAACAGTGAATAGTATTGCCTCTGTTTGGTTGTATTCATTTTAAAAGGAACAATGGTGTGTAGTATCACCCGATATGTATGGACATGAGCAATTGTCAATCGCCTTTGTAGATATTTTAGTGTAGACATAGTTTCATAAAATCAATCGAAAACACCGTATATATAAAGAACTTTTCTTCTACATTCTTCAATGGTATACGCACTCGACTTTCAGTCTATGGGTCCTGAGCTGGAATCCTGCTCTACTCACTTCAACCTGGCCGATAGGGGTAGTATCATCAACTCCGACACAATAATTAATTAAAGATTCCGATCTGAAAATTTCAAAAAAAAAAACGATTGCTGGGTAAAGCTATTCTTCTCCATGAGCTGCTCTTCATCAGGTTGTACAGTTACATATATCTGTAGTAGTGAAAGAGTTTGTGATATTGATAATAGCATTATTGTTTAAATAAGATCAAATCAATCAATAGCATGAATTGATTTAAGTTCACTAGCATCTATAAGTGTGATAATGTGTCTGTCTGTCTCTGTCTGTTTTCGACATAGAACTTTGCACCGATGTGCAGCAGTTCAAGTCGCCACACTCCGTGTAGCACGCGAAGCAAGAGAAGAAAGTAGAAGAAATGCATAATAGAGACAGCAGTAGACAGGGATATGAGACAAAGAAGGAGTAATAACGAAGAACAAAACAGTTTCATTGGAGATCATAAGTCACAAGGAGTGGATGCATCTGCGCCACTGAGAACGATTTTGAGCCATGTCACCAATTGTTTCCAACCATAGATTTTTATAGTCCCGAGGACCCCAGCCTGGAAGTCTACACCTTCCTACGTGGCTTAGACCAACTGTTGTGGATTTCATTGACCGATGTAGCCATGTCTTGGTTTGACCGCCGTTAGCTTTTTTCCAGCCTGACCCTATATCCGCTAACATTGCTCGTCGAGGGAGGCGATGGCTTGGCATACGTAACACGTGTCCTAACCATCTCAGTCTTTATAACTTCACGACTTCATGTGTATCAACATGCACTACACTGACTGTCAGACAGATGAATTAGGGGAATAATAATACAGAATTCATGAATTTATAGGCTCAACAGAAGTCCAGAGCAGTAATAGTGTCTGACTGGGCTTGTTTCTCCTTCCTATTTTTTCCCTGAAGGTGTCATATACAATCAACCCTAAGTTCATCTTCAAATTGCGTCTTGTAAGCATATAGGTCTGACGCTGTAACCGAGGGTCCTTATTCAATTACTTTTGTATTGGAGAGGAACAAAGCTATGAAGATGTGTCTACATTGTCCTGTCCATGTGCTTTCCTATGCTAATTTCTCTTTAAACTACCAACTGGTTTTCTTGTGATTAGAATATCTCTTTGTAGTCTTCCAAAATTTTCTCAGAAAGCATGATGAATGTCAGATAACAAATAAAGCTCCACATTGTGAAACTAAGTTGATTTACTTTTCTATATTTAGCAGCGATTTCATTCTCAAAAGCAGCTACACAGTCGCATATATATGCATAAGTTTACATAGTTACAGTTATTATTATTATTGTTTAATTCCACATTATAACTAAGGAAAGACTAAAGGTGATAATAATTCTCAACTTGATATGAAAGTTTGAGGGTGGGGATACAGATCACGAGGAGCGTAGAAACAAAATTACACAGGATTAAAATGAGACTAGCATGTAAACAAATGTGAAACACTCAGGTATTGGTTTTTGTACTGCTGAGGAATCCCAAACTAGGACGAGACAGCTGCCTAGTACTCCCAAGTTTTCTAATGGTTCTTTAACTGGTTTCGGCTCATGATGAAGTCCTCCAAATGCGAAATAGTAATATTTTATAACTTAAAATGGAAAGGAGAGGTGAAGAGGAAAATTAAGAGAATGAAAAAACGAAATCTAGGAGAACAAAGTGAACTGGATCCATAGTTAATAGAAAGGCTGGACTAGTTTCTTTTGAACACATACATTTCCGCCTTTTCGATATATATGACGAGGGTTTCTGCAGTTTTATTGATGAGATGTCCCCGTATGACACTTCGAGTTAAACCAGCAGTGCATCCTTTTTGCAGTCATGCTGTAATAGGTAATGTTCTCTTAAACGTTTTGATAGGCCATGCATAGAATGAAATCACCGAAAAAAGATAATCATCTTTAGAGAACTTATTCTTCTTGTTCTTTTCTCTCCCTCTTTGTTTTCCTAATGCGTATTTTCTACGATTTTCTAACTTTTTTCCCCTCTCGTTTTAGTATCCCTCCATGTATTTGGGTTTCTGAAGAAGAATTACAGTTAGCAGCTCATTTGCAAAAATCTTTGTGATTGGCGCACAATACCTTCCTCATTGGCTGATAAATAGCTGCATTTTGCTGTGAAATATTATATATATATCTCAGCGAGAATATGGGCTTTCGATCTTGTCTGCCTCTGTACTCCTCACCTAAAGTATTGGATTCAACTGTGAAACAAAAAAACTGTTTTTGTTTATCATCTTTTTTTTCTTATGTTCAACTTGATTTATGAATTTTTGCCTGTTATTATGTTACATTTGTTTTTTTTTTACTGTTTTTTTGTTTTGTCGGTTTTGCTCAATTTATTTGAATACTTATTATTTGGTTTGGTTGACTTCTTCTCTTTATATATATACATATTATGCATATTTATGATGTTAGTTGATAAACAACGTTACGTTACATAATTCTCCTGACTTTTTGCTCATCATTTATTAATATCAGGTGATTTGTGTGGGGATGGGGATCCAATTTAGCTTGTTCGATTTCTTCACGAACCAATATCAGTTAGAGAGAGAGACAGAGAAGTCATTCAGAACTACTAGAGAGTGTTGTGGATATCTGTCTCGTCTCCTTTTTTTTGGGGGGGGGGATGGACTCTTTAGTAGTGCTCTCATATCCATGACACAGGGAGCGAAGAACCTTAGGACCTTTAGGCTATATATATATATACCGCTACCCTCAAGCAGTCGATACCTTCGATTTGTATCCACTTCGCCTTGAAATATAGAGTGGGCACAGCTGGTTACGACTAGTCACTACAGACACAGCTTCAGGGCATCCATGCAGTAGCTGTCAGTGAGCTGATGATCGATATTCAGATTGCGATGTTAACATAATGCAATAACTATTGGTAGTAAAATACAAAGACTTAGATTACTGACTGACTGGTTTCAACGTGGAATTTTGCACAGAAGTGCATCAGTTCGAGTTGCAACACTCCATGTAGCCTACAAAAGAGAAGAAAGGCATTCGGAGGAACGATAGTAAGCAGAAATGTGAGGAGGAGAGAATAGTAGCATCGTAAAACACTAGGTTTTTGGATATGGCAGTTTACAGAGAATGGATGCGTCTGTTGCATTGAGTAGGATATTGAGCCATAGCGTGCTGAATACTCCAACCAGGTAGTCTACATCTCTCTACGTGGCTCAAACTAACGGTGGACGATTTCATTGGTTGATGTTGTGATATATGGTTTGACCATCACTATCTCTTTTCTAACCTGATTCTATGTCAGCTAACATTTCCCGTCGAGGAAGGAGACAGATAGGCATGCGTAACACATATCCTAACCATCTCACTCAATATATGTAACTGCTGTACAACCTCATCGATAGATTTCCCTTGGCCTCAATATTGCTCACCCTATTCTACCACCTAACACGGGGGATAGAGCGGGGAAGCGTATGATGAACGACAGCTAGCTCAACCACTTCACAAAGAATTAAATACTTATACTACAAAACAACGTGGAATGTACTTTTATCTGACATTTGGACGTGGGATTTTTTAATTTATGATTTCTTGGTTTTGTGCAGTTCTGTAGATATGTGTCGAAAAAATAACTATTTTCGGTCTTTTCAAGATATTTATTTGTATGATTCTGCCTAAAGTATATCCTGACTGCCATTTCTATGTGGCGTTGTGTATTTAATACGGGAATTAAGACACCTATAAAGGTGTGACTATACCCAAAGCACACTATATATATATGAATATACCTTTACGTAGTTCTCGAGCATGTCCAAAGTCAAGAATACTCAAGCGTCAGGCTCTCAATCAGATTGACTCTTTGAATTCATGTGTTACTGAGTTGACAGAGAATACTGCAGAGAGATTCTACGCCGTAGAATAACTTACAGACGATTTGAAACAGTCATTCTAGCAGTATGTGAACGGTGGTGTTAACAGAAGGAAAGAAAAGAAACGAACACAGCTTATTCTAAGCCTCGACAATCAGACGCCAGAAGCACGTTTTCCGCCCAATCCAGAACGCTTTGTCCACAATTTTTCTAGTATTATCCTTGACGTGACGGATTTAGAAGTCTTGTCTCTCGTTCTTAAATTTTGTGATAGTAATATAAAAGTCAATAAAATGGACATACAAGTTCAATTTGAAAACCTTTATGGTCAGACTGGAGACTTAATGCCTTCATCAGATCAGAAGGTTAACAGGTTTAAGGCAACTTTGGTTGATTGTTGTTACAAATACATGAATATTAGAAGTAATACGAAGAGTATTATAACCAAGAGGCTTTAAAGAAATCGAAAGCAAGTGAGAATATTGTGGTCTCAGGACGTGACAAAGACCTAGGAGTCGTGATCGTGGATAAGTCTGATGACCTTAGCGAAATGGAGACTTCACTAAGTAACGCATGCAGATTTCATAAACTAATAATCAACTAAGATACAGCGGAGATGACTGTGAAACAGTTGAGAAAGTTTTTAAAAAAGTTAAAAAGAACAAGGCCATATTTCACCTGCCTTGTATGAAACACTAAAACCTGTAAACGCAGTGATACCCAGGTTGTACAGCTTACCGAAGATTCACAAAAATGGCTAACCACTTAGACCAGTTCTCGATATGTCTAGGTCACCATACCATTCAACTGCGAAGTGGCTGGTGGGACTTTTACAGCTATTACATAAGAAACTTGTGCGTAAAAGATAGTTTTGAGTTTGTAGAAAGAATTAGATGTGAACGACAAATACATGATATCACTGGATGCATTTCCCTTATTTACCAATGTGTCTTTGATGTAAAAAATTGATTACACAAGTGATGAATTGATAAAACAAGGTATAGAGATTGGAATTACTGTGTCGTCCCCAAAGTAACTTCTTTTAATGTGTACAATGGACGTTAATTTCCTGTTCAATAAAGAAGTGTATAGACAGTCAGATGGAGTTGCCGTAGGATTACCACTAGGCCCGATCCTCGCGGAACTAAAGAATGGTACTCTTAGAGTTGCTATATATAGTCTTGATTTCTATTGCCGATATGTTGATGATACATTTATAGTTAGTTATTAAGAAAGAAAGTGAGGCTAGGGACATATTGGATAAATTCAATAAAGCACATCCCAGCATAAGCTTCACTGAGGAAGAAAAAAATGATATATGTGCAAAACTTGGCCCCTGGCTGGTGAGTAATTCCATATTAGTTTGTTTATTAGATGTATCACACAGTGAAACAGTATTATCTACTGCATGACGTTTCGAACACAATTTATTGTTCATAATCATACCATCAATTTTGATTACAGGACTTCAAAACTTGACTTATACTTTTCTTTGTTCTCTCCTACTTGTCATAGGGGTAGTAGAATTTTCCCATGGAAGTGAAGGAGATAACTCCCTTTGAATTTCTCCTGTTGGTGATGATTAATGTTTATTGTTGGGAGTTGGGTACCTTCATCACCTCTGACTTCCCAGTGTCCACCTGAAGTTTTGTCCCGGCTATCTCTTCGGCTAATTTGTTGGTTTCTGTTCTTAAAACTTGGAGTTTGTGTGACATGACATATATGTAATCTACGTGATCCAGATCCTCTGTAGTCTTTTACAGGTCACCCTTAAAACTGTCTTCTAACGTTCCGTGGTCTGTATCGAGATTTCGCTCACCACCATGAAGAATATCATTGGTGATAGTAGTTCATTAGCATCATACAAAACATACAAATGCAGATCGCGAATTCATACATAAAGAAGCTCAGGAAATCCTTAGTAGAGCAGCGACTACATGAAAAATGTCAACAGTCCTCGGAAAAATACTTGTACAGTTTATTGGAGGTGAGGCCAAACCAAGTTGAAACCGAGACTCTGTCTCTAGGATTCATGTATCACTTAACAAACTCGTTCATCAGCAAAATCGATACAGAAACGCTATTTGAGTGTTTACACGACCAATTATCACATTGGACACAAATAGACTAGGATGAATATATTTGGCTTAAGTCTAAAGTGGTTGATATTTCACAGAAGTATCACATTTCTCCTCCTTCACAGCCAAATATGTTTACTAAGGAGCACAGGCCAGCGTTGAGAAACCTACAGGACAATGGTAAGATCGTTATCCTTAAACCAAGCAAGGGTTCTGGCATAATAATAATTAACTGGCGCTAGTACATCTTGAAAATTACAACGCTTCTCAGTATATCGATGAGATTCCAGGTGGAGGGGTCATAAAACGACAGCCCTCGAAAACAAAGTATGCAGGCACATCAAGGAACTTCTTAAGTAAGGACTAATCGACAACAGCACCTATAATGACCTCAAAGCAAGAGGTTCATGCCTACCCTCCATGTATGTTCAACCCAATGTTCACAAACCTGATGTGTCTTTGAAACCTATCATATCAATGGTGAAATCACCATGCCATAAACTGACTGATTGGTTGGCACAAAAGTTAGAACCTATTCGACAAAAGTTTTCAGCCTACAGTATCAAGGGTTCCTTCAAATTCTCACAAGAATTAGATCAACTTAACATTTCAGATAAAATTCTCGCATCATATTATGTTTGTTCGCTGTTCACTAGCATACCCATTGAAGGGACAGTGAGAATCATATGCCGACAATCCGAACTACTTCCTCTCCCAGAAAAGGAGCTACAAAAATTGCTACTTCTTTGTACAAAGAACGTCCAATTCTCATTCAACGAACAGCTATACCGGCGAATTGACGAACTGGCTATGGATTCACCTTTGGGTCCTGTTCTTGCAGACATATTCAAGGCTCATGTTGAACAGACACGAATGAAGTCGCAAATAGAGAGGATTACCTATTACTGCTAGCCAAGACCCTGGCATCACGAGCCATTGATGTATGTTGTGTTTCAGAAACACGCATACAAGACCCAAGTGTGGTTATTCACCTAACCCCACCTGGCCAACAGGTTGAATCTGCAAAATTCACCTTGAGGGTGTCAGGAGATGCCACAGCTAGTTCACGAGGATTAGCTGGCGTAGGGATAGCTTTGAGTACTAGGGCAGAAAAGACATTGCTTGACTGGATCCCGGTAGATAGCCGAATGTGTGCTGTCCGCCTGAACGGATCAGTAAGAAGGAGGAAGGACTGCACTACTCGCCGATGCCTTTTCGTAATCTCCGCCTACGCCCCCACTGACTGCAGTTCAGATGAAACGAAGGATGAGTTCTACCAAAAGCTGTCTAGTTTGGTGAGAAAGGCTAAACGCTCAGACATAGTCGTTCTAGCTGGTGACTTTAACGCTCAAGTAGGGAAATTGTGTCAATCTGAGAAGGATGTCGGTGGCACCTATGGAGTTCCGTGCCAGCGAACCGACAACGGTGACCGTCTCCTACAGTTCTGTTCTGATAATCATTTGTTTCTTGTAAGCACTAACTTCAAACACAAGGAGAGACACTGTTTGACTTGGAGACCCCCTTCAT